TCTGGTCTTCTCCGAGAGGTGCAAGTTGCGACACTCTTCGGTGTATAATCGCGAGGTGCGTGTCGAGGGTCCGTGAAGTGGTTTAGAGACGAGTTTGTTCTTGAATTTGTTAAAGTGCAAAATTCAGACAAAGACTCTATCTTCACGTAAAACTTTCGCGTTATATAATCACATTAAATTTTCAATTCAATTAATTATTCTATTTTTCCATTTAATTACATTCAATTTTATTCTTTTTAATTTTTAACGTATAATTTTATTTTATAGTTTAATTGAATTTCACAATTGGTCAGTTCAAAATTATCATTGGTGGAGCGCTTTCATGTGTGTGTGTTCTTCCCAGGAACCAGGCGTAATTGGCATTACACATTTTGCAAGAGGTTGTTAATTCTAAATTCATTCAAGTACACATATTTCGGTGAGTTGTTTCCTTTATTCTTCCAGCTATTTTATGAATTTTTCGGCAAGTAGATCCAGTAGTTAATTATTTAACTTTGGGATTTCCCTCACTGGATTATAAAATTATTTTGTATTTGAGTAATTGTTTCTCCTTCGAATCTACGAATTGCGCGTCTCGGATATTTACAATATTTTTGTTCAGTTCATTGTGATTCACATTATATTATATACGCTACCATTCTAATCTCTTCATATTTTATAAAATATAATCTTTTGTATCTTTTAATTATTTTGAATTACATTTCTTTTATTGCCTCCGTCATATCCTATAATCATTGCGATCTTGTGAAAGGGCCCGTATGGGACTAGCGTATCTCCGGATCCACAAAACATTAAGTCCCGTTAACAATTAATATCGTTTGGGCAAACAAATCTTCGAGGCTTTATACGCGCGCTTCCCGCACGTAACACCAGAAAAGCGGTGCAACCGGAAAGAGGGTGAATTTATATAAAAAAATAAGTGAAAAATGTAAAATAAAATTTTTCACTACGCAGCTTTATTTCAGAAAAAAATTGAATTTCAATATTTTTCAAGTATTTGTAAAAAGATTGTTTATAATGTATGAAATTACAAAATTAGTAAATTGTTTGTTAATTCTATACTAATATTAATAAACAATAAATATATGTAGAATAATTTTAATAAGTGAAATGATTATTGTAGTTTATTTAACAAAATATAATTATTTGAAATTAACTCAATGAAATCCAAATAGAATCTCAATATTACAAATTACAAATCTCACCGTCTTGCTCTCTCAATTTCTCACAAAGCAATGAGCACTTCGCTTTGCTCCAAAAACATTCGATCACACAAAAAGACAATCTTTATATCAATCTTCATTACATGCAAACTTCATTCATACCATGCACCCATGCCACTCATACAATTACATAGTACACACATACCACATATGTAGAACTTGATATTATAAATTAGTACATGTAATTATTAAAGTGCCTTTATCTTCATTATTTATAGTACGTATTATTACTCATGTGCGTACTTATCATCGACTGAATTCATCTCATTATACATTAATATCCACATTAGTAACGTTATAAAGAATTAATAATGAACTGTAGTATTAATGATAAAATCGATTTATTTTATAACATTCATTGCCACATTCATTGTCCTTAAGTTAATGAAGAATTTATATTTGTCATTTTATAAAGAAATTTTTCTATAAACACTTCAAAACAGTTTAAAATGAAATTGCATATGGACAAATTTTTTTATATATCTTTGATTTATATTTTCACAAAGATTTATCCTTTTTTTCGATTTTACCAAACCAGTAATTCTCTATGGTAATAACACAAAGAATACA